GGCTAAAATATGATAAAACAAATTTTGAGGCTCTTTATAGCTTGCTATTTGGGTTAATCAAATGCTACGTGTTGAAGGTCGTACTTTGACCTATGATTGTTTACTCTTACAAATTATGACTTGGATGGAGAGTTTTCTCATTGGCTCTCATACCACATCTTCTTATTTCTATTCATTGCAAAATGCACCATTGAACTCACAGTCAGTTTTAAAAATATTTCACAACAATAGCTATAAAATTATCTACTCGTGCATAATATGGCGAGATGGTTTGTTTTATGAAATGTTATTGAATAATATCAATGGTAAGATGTATAATGTAGTGTTACTCCTACAAAACCATACAAAGTCGGAAATATTTGTGATATGACGTATACATGTAGTGTTTTGTACTTCCTTAATTTGTCTTTGAAACAATCTTTTTTCCACAGAAAAAGCCAAAATATCCAAATTTGGAGACCGCATGCTTAGTCCACGTACTGCCTGCGAAATGCGAAATGGTCAGGCTGGGTAATGTTCACATATTTGTATATACAGATTGTTTATTTTCAACTTATTTTAATGGAGATTTTTTTAATTGCTAATAAAATTCTGCAACTTGAGTATGACAACAGATTTGGAGTGGCGTCAACGGTTTCTGAAATACAGAGGGGTTGATTCCTGGTGAAGTGTTTTGGATTTTATTTTTTCATCCGATTAGATGGGATTTTTTTCATTGTATACTCATTTTGATCCTTTTCGGTAATGTGTTCTTTTTTATTAAAGTCCATCAAGGAAATACACGTGCTCCTACCCACACTACAGTCGGTGTCTAACGAATGATTAATATATAATTGTACAGATCATCTGTCTAAGCTTTGGTTACAAGGATCTGACAACACTTCGTTTTACTTTCTGTCCTGCTTAATATTATATCAGCCAATAAAATTTCAGCCTTCATATTTTTGAAGGTGTGGATCAATCCGACAAAACCAGAGAATCCCAATGGTCTTGAATTGAGCGTTTTCAGATCGGCGTAAGCAAAGCTTGAACACACAATACCTGTAATCTAATCAGATTGGTGTCTAAATGAACTTAAACACTGCATTTATTTATTGTTTACTGAGACCTGTTGTTCTCTTACAGATAGAGAGTTGTATTTTGAATTTTTCAAAGTGAAGATTTACGGCAGCGGCTTTTAATATTTTGCGTTTATCCTGGAAACTATAATAGATTTAAAAAAACAAATAGTGCAATGTGTCTGAGTAAACTCTATAGTAAAGGTCCTTTTTGGGCAATTTTGGCTCTTCAGAGTTTTGTTGTTTTATTGGCTATTATCTTGATAACTTATCTATAGAGAAACCTTTTCTTGAAAACTGGTATAGACAAGAACAGATATAATCAAAGTAGTGAAGTACTGATCATCGGATGACCGCAAATTCTTGTGGATGGTCACAAGCACTTGTCCCAGAAAAAAATCATTTCTGTACCTGAAAGTAATGTTAATGTACAGAGATATATTTTTTTTCTGAGACAAGTTCGTGCGTGGATGATGAATAAATGTTCGGGAATTCAACCTCACCGTAATAACTATTATATTGTAGTGGTACAAATTATATATTATTAATCTGTGATCTAAAAAAAAAAAAAAATTTTATGAGTATTCATTGAAGAAATAAACTTATAAATCGGTTACCAGTCAAAAACGAAAGTTACGTAAGTAGAAATCTCTTTGGTAACAATACATCGGAATGTTAAAATAAATAAGTAAGTAATAATTATGGTAATTTTCTTTCTTTTGGGGTGGGGACGTGTGAGGAAACAGTGGAATTTCTCTTATTTTTTTTCAAGTCTACACCTTGAAGAAGGAAAAACAGTCAATAAATACCCCCTTTTCCAAAGACCTACAAATTTCAACCCCCCCCCCCCCCCCACCCCCTTCTTCCCAAAAAAAAGGCACCACCGGACAATTACACACAAACGCACATACACACATTTTCAATACTTTTGTTCGTAATAACAAAAAATTCGTATTAAGTTTCTAAATGCATTATAAGTTTAAAATATTGCGTCAGTAGTGAATCTAGAACTTCAACTGTGGAAGTTGTTTGCGACTTCACGAACTTAATTTGGATTTGCCGGTTATGGTCTCATTAATATTTACCACACCTTCAATCGATATTAGCTTCAGATGAAAAATTTTCTGCTAGTGAAATTGTTGAAACTAAGGATTCAGGTTTTAACAATTGAGGCGAGCGGAACCAGGCGTAAAAATTGATGCCTACGGATTTTGAAGACATCGCCATAACATTATACCGCAAATCTATAACTATATAAAATTGAATCCACCATTCCATTAAAAAAATGATGAAATTAAAGGCCCCGTTTATTTCTTCCTATACCTCTTTTTGGGGTTACAAATGACTGGTCCCTTATATAAGCCATTACCCTATCAAAGTCCGATTTAATTTTTTTCCCATTCTTTTGTGTCTATCTTGAGAATATATAAAGAGAAACTCGAACAACTAAAATAATCAGCAAGGCAAAATTTACATTAATGTACATACTAGATATTCGTGTATTAACTTCTTATAGATTATTTTTTTTATGGTGTACAGAAATTGACAAATATAATGCCCTCCCTTGTTAAAATGAGCATAGAGCATGAAATAAAAGAATTATGTCTTAAATTTAATAATTTTAACCGTATGTTCATTATTGCAGACTCCGTATGTTTATTATTTTAGACCAATCGATTAAAACAAAACGTTGCAATTCATATATTTTGACATTTTCCAACAATATCAGGTGTGATTTTTTACATCTTAAAACGAGGTACTAATATATGCCAAGGTTTATCTCTTTTTAAATCTCAACCATTTTCCAAACGACAGCTAAAAATTTGAGCCTGATTTATTGTTACTCCGCAGAAGCAGATCGGAATCAGTTCTGACGTAGTGAGTAATCGCTTTAATCGTAATCATGTTCATTGACCATCAGGACGATGAATGCACATCATCATAATGATGTTTCGACATCATGATAATGATGTTCTGACATCATATAAGGATGTAAACCGAACCACACCATATAACGATGTTAGCACATAACATAAGGATAAGTTCACATCATATAAAGAAGTTTGCACATAATATAAAGACATCTGTACATGATATAAGATAATTTACAAATCATATAAGACCATTTGCACATCATATAAGATAATTTGCACATCATATAATATAATTTGCACATCATATAATATAATTTGCACATCAGATAATGTCAAATTGTCATCATATAAAGGTGATTGCATATCGTATAAAGGTGATTGTACATCACATAATGCCGTTTCTACATCGTATAAGGAAAGCATCACATAATATAAGGACTCAATCACATAACATAATGGAAAAAGCACATCATTTAATGAATTGTGGACATGATATAAAGATGTTTGCACCTCATATAAATGTGTTTGGACAGCATATAAGGACAACTTCACATCATATAATGCCAAGTGTACATCATATAAGGACAAGTTCACATCACATAATGACAAGTGTACATCATATAAGGATAAGTGCACATCATATAATGTCATTTGCACATCATATAAGGGTAGAATGACATCATATAATGGCAAATGAACATCATATAATGAGAAATGTCATAATAAGACAGTGTCGGCGTTCCATATACATCCACGTGATTATTTGGACACTGGTGTATAGCTGTATCTGATTGGCAATCATACCACGCCTCCTTATTGTTATGATATTGCTCTCGTTACAGCGTAGATGAGGCATAAATTGTGATAATTAAAATAAAAATAATAGCTGTATAAAATATGACAACACGTGCCCGATGACACATGGATTAAACGATTGCGCAGCACTGTCACATGTGGTGTTATTTCTTATTTTATAATTTTATAATACGGCGATCAGTTATCCTTTTTATCAAATAGAGACAGAATATCACAACTCGTTTCTGTGTTACTATCGTTAGTTCGGGATTCTTTATGTATTGTCGATTTCACTGTACTTCTTTGGAGTATGCCTATAAGTTTTTGCAAACATTTGTTAAAATGGCAGATTGTCTCTTCGAGAAGATCGAAGCAGATTGTCCAATCATTGTGAAGCAACACGTTGATTTAAATGCACCTATACTTATAACTGATGATATGTTACACATAGTTTTAAGTGTTAAGGCGCAAATCTTCAGTTGGAAGTCTCAAGTGAGGGTCCGGTAAAAGGCGGGGAAAGTCATGAAAGTAAAAATAAGCGAGTACTTTAACATGTGAGATTATCCGAATTTATCACATGGGAAATTCAGATAAATGACCATCATCTATAAAGTAAGACATCGTATTACATCAATTTTCTGAGCATTACCGTCGGCTCTCCGAACTTTCGCGACATCTTGCGTTTTGATTATCGAGTTTATGAGCTTCAACCCTTTATTGAAGTTGCATATTAATAACCGTTTGGGAAGTGAAATATTATTTGCTTTATAACCTTAAGGCATTACAAAATTCAAACATTATCGGTGTATGTGTATTATCTAATTACTAAAACACAACCGGAAGTAAAAGTTTGAAATGTGATTTATTTTAAAGACCACGGTAATACAAGTTCGTTACAGACAGAAACATCACTAACATAGAAATATAAAATAACACAAAACCCAAAACGCTAACGAAGGGTCTCAAAGGTGCTCACAAAGTGTGATTACATCCTTCTTCGGTGACGCCTCCGTCGTATATGTTTGTTTGTTGAGAGATAAAAGATACGTATTGTCTACTATTGAAACTTTATATGGTCATTTGAGACACAGATACAAGTATGATATCTATCAAGTCACGTGGTAATATGTTTGTATCTCTGTCAGTTTAATTTATTTTATAAAAATATTGAAGGGACACAAAAAAGAGATTTTATTACTCGTTGTTGTTTCGTTTTTAGTGTCGTTGGCTTACTAACTCTTTTTTCTTCTATATAGTATCAATATTTCCGGATGATTGTTCGTAAATTTTCCGCATAAGCATTGATGTCAAATTTTCCGCAAAAGTATGCTATCTGTTATCGTATAACGAAAGACTTCTTACAGGTACGTGTATTTTTTATTATCATTATTTAGTCAGGCAGTTTACTTATTTAGATTGTAAGATAAAATTAAATCTACTATATTAAAGGAAAAAACTATTTCATCATATCATACACGCCAATTCAACCAGTATCATCATATACAGCTTCGGTGGTTTTTTGTCTGTTAATTTTTCTGGAATTACAAAGCTAATTTAAACAAAGTTTCCAAAGAATAATGTATTCAAATCTTATTTCTTATCATTTACACTCCCGGGCCAATTGGATGAAACATAGCAGACAGATAAAGAATAGTTATTCTGATAGATCAATTGCAATGTTCTTGTCCTTATAGACAACAATAACAAATCTTTGGAAGCTTTATAAGAATCAATACAAGACCTTAAATAAGATGCCTCGGTAAATTTAAATTTGATGAGATGACTAGCATGCATGGTTTTGGCACACATGTACATATATAAAATGCAGTGGTTTTTTTTTTACTTTTTTTATTGTTCTTTCTTTTAATTAATAGGACATTCTTGCGAATTTGAAAAGTGATGCGTTATTTCTTAATCACTAATCAGGTGAAGACAATTGCATAATATGTACGAGCATCAACATGTGCATCTGATACAATACCATTTGTCCCGTTTAATTGTATTACGAGATATCTTAATTTCAGGTATACATAGTCTTTCTTGCAAATAGACAGTACATTTACATTATCATTACATGTATTGTACAAGCTATAACTAAAATGCTTATAACTAGGAACTCAATGTTTAAAGGTTGTATGGTAGCATAGAAAATAATTATTTTCGAGTTAGAGATGGTGCCTGAATCTCAGATTTTGTTAAGATTATACAGGAGGAAAATAGAACGGAAACGGAAAGCAGACTAAAACATGACATGTAATAATTTCAAATAAGACACAAGTAGGAAGCTTTTATATTATTCTTATAAAGAAAAAGAAATGTTATCAGTATGCTCCATTTCTTATTACGCAACAAAATAGATCAATTTACAGTGTAATATATTATAAAATAATTTTAAACTTATTTCCTATTGATACCCTGTGTTACTCTTTTTTTTCAACCAATTCAGTCGGGTATTACTACCATGTGCATTTTATTGTATTTCCAACTAAAATACAACAGCAGAATACACATCTTAGAATAAACAATATTTCTAGATTTGTTAAAATGGTATGCAGAGAAATTTGTATTCACGTGTTAAATTCATGAATGTTCCCGTATATCCTTTTAAAAAGTTGTTAAACTGAGTTTCTCCTAACAAGAAATCTAATAAACCAAGGGCCCTAATATTGAATAGATATAAGAAGGTGAGCTATGAGTGCCAATGAGACAACTTTCCACCCAAGTCACAATTTGTAAAAGTAAACCATTATAGATCAAAGTACGGCCTTCAACACGGAGTCTTGGCTCACACCGTACAGCGATCTATAAAGGGCCCCAAAAATGACTAGTGTAAAACCATTCAAACAGGAAAACCACCGACAACTACTGAACATCAGGTTAATAATATGGATTGAAGGAGCTACATAATTTCTTAAAAATGTTTTATTTGACACTCTTCAAGTTAAAAAAATAGCTTTTAATCACAATAAGGATCAAGATATAATGTCAAACAACTTTTTTCAAGAATTTCCTGTCAATGGTTAAAAAAATCACTGTAAAGCAAAACTGCACCAGCCTCGTTTGTTTTTTCGAAAATAAAAAAAAATCTTTTACCTACAGCTGCCGATACTTTAAACATTTTCTTCTTATCTTAAAGAGGCAGATAGTTATATGGTGTTCAAATTTCAAAATCCTATTGAAGTTCGTCTATGGAATAAAATTGGGAATGGAAATTGGGAATGTGTCAAAGAGACAACAACCCGACCAAGTAGCAGAAAACATCCCAAGGCCACCAATGGGTGCTCAACACAGCGAGAAAATCCCGCACCCGGAGGCAGGCTTCAGTTGGCCTCTAAACAAAAATGTGTATTAGTTCAATGAAAATGGACGTCACACTAAACTCCAAAACATATAAATGAACTGAAATCAAAAAACATACAAGACTAACAAAGGCCAGGGGCTCTTGACTTTGGACAGGCGCAAAAATGCGGCTGGGTTAAACATGTTTTTTGCGATCTCAACCTCCCACTATACCTCTAGCCAATGTAAAATAAACACACACACAGAAATACGCACAGTTAAACATATTCCCATAGAGCATCGCATTTGCCAGCGCTGCGATTCAAATGTAGTCGGTGACGGATGTCATTATTTTTTGTTATGTACTAACGAACAAATAAAGTCATTAACAGTGGGAAATCTAGTGACAAAATATTACCTCCCCTGTAAACACTGAAAAATAGATCTTTTCAATTTTTGTCCCATTTTAGCAAGGACGCTATCAATTATAAATTCACGGGAAAACGTTCCGGTAAATAGTAAAAATAGAAATAAGTTGAAATAAAAATAAAACTTCCATTTAATATTATTATTTCCCTCTTTAAATAGAAAACGACGAGTACAGCAGACTAAAGGATCTTGGTGTAAAATTGGTTTAAATTGTTTCTATGCGAAAAAATTCCTGGAGTACCAACTTCAATTTATTTTTTTACTTACTGTTTACCTCTCTGGAACATGCTAATTATCCGTATATATATGCAGCTAGATCAGAGGAAAGTCAGGGGAATCGTTTGCAGCAAAGATTTGCACTTTTGAAATTAAGTTACTAAGCAAATTCAAACAGACCTTATCCAATCATGCAATGTAAACATTGAATGTGAATAGATCGAGAATACCGCAAATACATGTATAAAAATCAAGACGACCTTTTCTTAAAATTGTATAGAAATAGTAAAAAGATGCCTACTTTATAAGAATATTTATTTTATTTTTTTAACCTGCACAGACAGACTTTTATATTACATGTATTATATTCATGAAAAGACGATAATTCTATATTGAATTGTCATGTGACATGAGCAGACTGGTGTACTCGAAACCTTAAAATGTGAAAAATGAGTATATTTTGGGAAATTGTAACATGCTAAGGACTTTGTGGAACACTCCAAAAATGGTGACCCGAAATATCTTTAGTTTTTGTATGTACCTGATTTTTTCCATTTTTTTTTTATCAATATGCAGCAAAGATTGGCATTTTTTAGATTTCAGTTTCACAAGCTTCTAATGCAATTATCTCGATGATAACTACTGAACATAAAACATCGTGTACTTGCATGTATATTTTTAATAACACAGTTTAACAAAAATTTCTTTAACATGTACAATTGTTATTTAAAAATAACTTTTGATCAGTGTCGTCTATTTTGAATATAAATTTTGTTCTTATATATTGCTGTACTGCATGACAAACATCAACTTTTTGTTGTTAGTTTTCTTTTGTTATTGGTAGGTATTTTTTTCACAGAAAAGATAGCAATGGACTTTGTACGCTTTCTCATTGCACAAACCTCATGGTAAAAATGACGTTCTTGTATTCATTTCACTTTTAACATCTTAGCTGACACTCTGTTTTTTTTTTACATGGTAAGGTTGTAAAGAATACCTGTGGTTTATGTAGCGATTAATTCAAGCTAATGCCACATTAAAGAAGTTTTTCTAACGATTCCTGAAATAAAAATGACACAAGTTTCTTACATCTTTCTGATTTTCACACCTTACAGTTACTCGGTAAATGCACATGGTTTTAAAAGTACACATGTGACGCTTTCGGTGTAAAAATATTAATCTGGTAATTGAGATAAGATATAAATATGTCTTAATAATATCATTGGTTTTGTTGAAAGTAATTAAGTAATTTGTTTATAATTAGTCAATGCCGTGCCACAAATGAAAGGGATTATAGAATTGCATCCTTATATGATTTAAGAAATATAAACATTTGCATTGTTGTAGCAAGGAATTGTATATTTTATAAAAAAATGCCTTATTTTAACTTGTTTCTTAAATAATCAAATACATATATGACACTAATCATCATCAACGAATTTCAAATAATTTTCCTGTGACTTTTTCACTTTATGTATATAATTGACAACATTTCCTAACACATTTGGGACTTTTTTCGTACTTATATCAAATATGTGTACTTTTTTCCCTACATATACTTGCATCATAAAATAAAATGTACAACTTTTTTCCGTCAACCCTCTGAACATATTTAATTTCAGTTACAAATTTTCACGCGAAATTTTAAACGAAATATTTCTACTTTGATACCTTTTTTAGTTCAAAATTTGCAGTATTATATGGTTCGGAAATATGGGGTTGTTATAATTCACAAAAGATCAACCACGACACAGAATTTATTTATTCTGTAGAAAAAAAAATAGAAGATGCACCTCAAATACTGTATAATAAATAAGCGACTTTCATATATAAGCGTGCATATGTTATTGAAACAAATTATGTTGATTAGGTTGCTATCTGCTAATATTAGAATTTGATCAAATATGAAAAATGATGGTATAATATGTATATGTCTCTAACAAAATCGAAATATAAAATATCCTTTACTTCGATAAGGAGTGAAAATGAAGATATCTGACGACACGGTTAACGAATAGAATATTATTTTGTTTCTATGTGAGTTCTCCGTTTAAATCTAATTCAATCCCTGTTCGAGTTCAAATTCTTTATTGTACATTCTCAGACACATATAGTGTTACAAGAGGAATTAAATACATATTTATTCAAAAATAAATGGCAGCTTAAATATACAAAAATGTGTCATTTAGATTAATTATTAACATATGTTTTATCTATTTCAAACTAGATGTATTTTGTAATGTTAGAGTAAATTTTGATGGAATCATATGACAAAATTATAGTATAAACGAGCTGGACGACCCTGGCTTACGCTTTTTTGACCATTTAAATTATAAAGTTTTACCTTATGGTATTTTAATGTGATTTGAGAGAAAAATATAAAATAAATGTGTACAAAGAAATCAAATGAAATAAAACAAAATAATTATGATTCTCGGTA